CATTATGACCAAGTTGCGAAAACAAGGTCAAACAACTTCTATTCAACGAAAGGAGACTGCGACCACACCAAAGACCACACCATCTTGGTCTTCATATCTTCGATCAAAATAGCTTAGAGGCTATCTCAGAAAGAGATATATCGTTCCTTTCCTTTCCCTGGGAAAGTAAATCAAAGCAGATTCGCTTTCGCGGGACTTTTTTTGACGTTGGTTTGTATAAAGGTTTTTGGGTCCAAATGCAGACTTTCTCCTATGCTGCCTGCCTGCTACGCTGGTTTCGCATCGAAGGTCTCAGACTGGAGGCACTGGCATTGCAGGGAAGCAGCCAGGAAAAGGGTCGACATCATCATCATCACCATGCGACTGCTTCCAGTCCAGTGTCCTCGGTTCAAACCTCAAACGTGCTCGGTTCCACCACCTCTGATGGAGGCGAGGATAAGAAAGGAGGTAAGGCATTGCATTTGGCTGAAAATTGCCACTCAATACTATTTCTAAAAGATATATTTATCTTTATTTTTTCTATTTGTGGGTAAGCTGAAGCTTACTAATATCTTTTCCATCCATTTATCTTATTAGTGAATCTAAAACCCACTTTTCATCTGAGCAAAGATTATTTAAGCGTAGATATGAAGACCGAGCTATGTAGCCTCTATTTTGGTCGCAGTCTCCTTTCGGGGCATAGAAAGTGTTTGACTTCGTTTGCGCAACTTGCTCGTGTTTTCACTGTGACTTAATTAGACTCATCTTGTCCGAAGCCCTCTGTTTTCGTAATTATCATAATTCCTAATGTCAGACCATGGACTTGGTACATTCATATAGGTTTCTCCGTCATCGTAGTCGACATTGTCAATGAGTCTTGCCATTCTAAGTAGATTATTTACGCTATGAATGTCTTCGAAATTAACTGGAAACGAGCAGTATTAAATAGTAGGATGGACACCATCTTTTGACGAACTGTAATATGGTGCTAAGAATGACGAGACTCACTGACGATGCCGACTACAATGCCGGCGAAACGTCTGAGAAAGCACCACGTCCACGGTCCGAATTTGGAAATGATCATGCATACAATGGACTGCGGACTAGGTGCGTTCCCCTAAGTCTTCCTACCAATATGATCAAGTTGCGAAAACATGGCCAAACAACTTCTATACAACGAAAGGAGACTGCGACCACACAAAAGACCACACCATCTTGGTCTTCATAGCTTCGAATAAGTAATATAGTTAATTGTTATACCAACAATACGTTTGCTTCATAGACACTCCCACCAAAAAATGTGATATGGGAAATAGCAGCTTTAATATCACTAGACAACAATTCAGCGCAAATGATATAGCTCTTCAAGGATTTAGCTTTTCACAATGGTGTCCATCCTAATATTAAATACTGCCCGTTTCTAGTTAATTTCGAAGACATTCATAGCGTAAATAATCTACTTGGAATAGCAAGGCTCATTGACGATGTCGACTACGATGACGGATAAACGTCTGGGAATGTAACAAGTTTATGGTCCGACATTAGGAATTATGATAATTAAGACAGTATAGGATTTTGGACAAGGCTAGTCTAATCAAGTCACCCTGACAACATGAGCAAGTTGCGAAAACGAAGTCAGACAATTTATATGCGCCGAAAGGAGTCTGCGACCAAAATACAGGACACAATAGCTCGGTCAGCTTACTAATCTCAGAAGAACCAGAATACTTGTATAAAGAAAACTTTTTTAGTAGGGCTTCGAGACCACCATTAGATTTTGAATAAGAACTGTGTTCACACTATTTTATTAAAGGTGATGAATGACTGGTAATCGAATTTTCCCTCAATCATATGAGTAAGCATCGTGTTTCCATTGAATTTCACATAGCTTTGCCTCCCAAAGCACATTTTCCTCCATTGTGGACTGCAGCCTTAAGCTTGCTTAAATATCATCAGGACCACCGGCGGAACTCGCATTCGGATTGTGGTAGTGCAATGTATAATCTCGACACGTTACCCACTGGGGCACATTGCAATGAGTGCCCTTGAGTCACATGGCAGATGCGCATTTTAAGGAAAGCCAGGCATTTGCCCATATCATATTCCGTACTGCGATTGCAGATGCTGCAAAGGTGTATTTGCTAATACAATCGACTGCATTACAGATTTTCATTTTTAAGTAGGGTTTCAATACCCCCTTCCTACACTGAATAAGAACGGTGTTCACCCTGTTTCGTTTAAGGTAGGAAAGACAGGCAGTCTAAAGACCCTACTTGAAAACGAAGTAATGTAGATGATTGTAATGACAAATACAACTTTACTTCATCAATAATTCCACCACACAAGTCTACATGGAAAAGTCCTGACCTGTATTGAAGCTCATGTCAGCCCTGTGATCCGAAGGCAATCGTGGCATAGTGATTAACATGTTGAGACTATACGCTGCATTGCGACATCCTGGGTTCGAGTCCCGCTATGAGTATTACTGAGATAAGCACAGACGAGGTCGGAACTGCGATACATTCCTACCTGGAGGGGACTAGCTTTTTGGAAGCAAGGCTTAAGCTTGTACTATCTCTTAATAATAAATTCGAGTACTCACCAAACTATTTAGTTTACACCAACTCTGGCAAAAACACCTTGAGAGTCCGGCCAACGGAATTAGCAATTCTTCAAAATCAGGTAATTTTCGACACTAACCTAGAATACTCTTCCATTTTTCACAAAGCTGATGAAATAGAATAATTCCTAGTTGCTTCTCTCTACTGCCGGCACCAGCTTGTCTGCCACCTTACTTGTGTAGTTCGCAAGCTCGTGTCACATCAACAAGCCTGCTCACACAAGGAGAACTGTCGCTCGACTCTCTGAGATCCAGTTTACTACTGAGGCGAATGTTAACAGAGTCCGGCTATTTAGACCATGAGTTGCCAGTTTCAGGCAGTGCCTATACATCGGAACTACTCAATTCTTGCTCTGTTGAGTGCTCAACACCATCTAGCTCCCATTTTACATGGACATGAGCTATAAAGGTATTATTTCGCACATTTCCTGTCCTGTTCAGTTTTCTTTAATAAGAACTGTGTTCATCCTAGTTCGTTTAAGCTAAAAGCCAAGCTTGTAAATGGAGAATTAAACTTTACAGCCCATTTGTCTCCAATTGACGAGATCTAAAGCGAAGATTGACATTTTACAGTGTTAGATTTGACCAAAATTAAATATGCTGATTGTATATGGTCCTTCAGGTCAGGTTTCAGCTCGAAGGAATATGTATCTAAAATGAAGCATGTGATGCCGTTTTGACGGGATTTTAATGAAGGGCCAAGTGTATCTACAAGACATGTAACAATTTAATAAGAAATTGAATCAACACATCATTCATTTTGTCTATTCTCTTAGTTAGATTCAGAAATCCTATTCTTATTCATAAGTCCATAGACCA